CCGACGGAATTTGTCGAACAGCAAAATACTCCGTGCTCCTGATAGTTGATCCAGTTGCCCTGTCGGCCCATTCGACGACCCCAGTTCCGGGTCTCTTTGACGCAGACATTTGGGAGGGCAGTGCAATTTCCAAGTAGAACCTGGAGCACCCTTCGCTACCTGAATTTCTGCCCTTGGCCCAAACGTATTGCAAAACCAGGGGTCGTCACCAAAGCATGGTAAACGCACACTTTTTCCTGCTTCGAGCGTTTCCCCAAAACCAGGCTGGTCGGTCCTGTTTAAAAGGCTCGAGCAGAAATCGAAGTGCAAAACGAGCGCAAATATCCGCAAACGAGTGCATTTTTGTTTTAATGGTAACAATGCCCGCCTTCCTTTGGATGGAAGAAGGGGATTTGGTCGAGCGTTTTGTTTTTTTTTTTTTTGGGGGGGGGGGCGAGTGTTTTTTTTGGGGGGTCGAGCAGAAATCGTGACTTCGAGCATTTTTCTCGTACCCCAAAAAAAGGGCACGTTGGGTGCCTCAGGAATATGTACGGATTTGCCTGTGGCCATCCCGATCGAAAACGGAATTGGGCTTGAAAGTTGGAAGTCTGGATACGAGGTTATAGAAAAAACTGCCCTTTACACTGACAAGGAAGGATGTTGATTGAATGCAAAGGCATCTTGGTGACGTTTGGTAATTTTTGGGAGGATCAAAGGGCTTGCCTTTCGTTTGTGTCCCAAGTGTTAAACTCCGTAACCATTCGAAAACCGAAGCCGACGATTTCTGGCAGGTCCGAAGCCGTTACTGGCGTCCCTGCGCGCCCTGACCCTCGAGCATTTGCAAGAGGCGAATAGCGGCTGTATGTTTGCATATGTTTGCTGGCTGGCCTGCTTCGTTTGATTGCTTGCCTGTTTGCTGTTGGATTTGATTTGACTTAAATTGAATTGATTTAGTTGATTCGGTAAATTTGAGGAATCTGATTGATTTGCTTGATTTGAGTTGGCTTATTTGACTGATTTGAACGGTTAGATTGGTTTGGTTTGGCCTAGATTGCTATATTTATTTTATGTTCTTATTGGATTGATTTATTTGATTGATTGATTGACTGATTAATTGATTGAACTGATTTGATGTGACTTGATTGAATTTGATTTATTGATTTGATTGATTGATGGATGATTGGATTGGGTTGGGATTGGATTGGATCGGAGCGGATCGGATCGGATTGGATGGATGGATTGTTTGATTGCTTGTTTCTTTCTTTATTTCTTCATTTGTGTGTTATTTTTTATTTTATTTTTTATTTATTTATTTATTTATTTATTTGTTTGATTGATTGAGTGATTTGATTTGACTCGACTTGAATTGATTTGATTTAATTAATTAATTGGTTAGTGCATTGCTTTATTAATTGATTAATTAATTGATTGATTAAATTGTTTAATTATTTAATTGACTGACTAATTGATTGATTGATTGGTTGGTTGGTTGGTTGGTTGATTGATTGATGAATCGTTTGATTGATTGGTTGATTGATTGGTTGATTGGTTGATTGATTGACTGGATTGTTTCGATTCATTGAACTGGTGGCTTTCTACCTTGCTTGCCTGCTTCGTTCCCTGTCTTTGCTTGCGTGTGTCTTTAGGTTGTCACTGTTTGTTTTGTTGACTGTTTGCTTGTTTGCTTGCTTCTTTATATTTGTTTGTTTGCTTCCTGCTTGTTTTCTTGTTTGCTTGTTTGTTGGTTTGATTGCTTGTGTGTGTGTGTGTGTGGGTTGTCTTGCTTGCTTAGCTTGCTGGCTGGCTGGCTGGCTTGCTTGCTTTGTCGTTTTGTTTGCTGATTTGGCTGTTCGTTGTCTTGTTGGTGTTGTTTGTTTTGCTTGTCTTGCTTGTTGTGCCGTTGCGTGTTTGCGCCGTTTGTTGTGTTTTGCTGGCGTTGCTTGTTTTGCCTGCTCGATTGTGTTTTGATTGGGTGTGGTTGCTGTTTTTGTTTGCTGGCTTGCTTGCTTGTTTGTGTCTGTGCTTGTTGTGTCAGTAGTGTGGGGCTGTTTGTTTGTTTGCTTGCTTGATTGTTTGTCTGTTTTGCTGATTGACGTGTGCCACTGGAAACTCCGCACATGACATGCCGAATGGTCAGTTGGTTTCACCAAAATAGCCGTTTAACTGCGGGACAGTGAGAGGGACAGTTAGACTAGCCCTGGAACTGGCAAACAGCTTCAATTTCACAGAGGACAAAGACCGACCCAGAGTTTCCCAATTGGTATCCACCAGCAGCAGGGTGATGTATGGGCCGCTCTTCCATATCGATTTGTTTCTTTGGTGGCTGGACCCGCATTTCTTCAAGGGTTTTCAACAGTGGTCTTTGAAGCATTGGCGGCTCTTTGGTTGGACTTTTGCCGCAGAAGGCCACCCAATGCCAGTAGACGACTTTGCCTCGGTACCAATGCACACTGTTCCCACTTTTCCGCTGGCAGGGCCTACATTGCCGCGAGGGCCCTGTGGCGGGCTGAATGAAAGTGCACGGCTCATTGCTTGCCCTCGTTTCTGCTAAAGCGTCTCATGTAAAGAAAAACCTTCGGCTGATGCAGACATGGAAGCCAAACACACAGCAACCAGGTTCAGGGTAATTGAAATGACAGTTCTGCTTCATATTCATAAACCTCCGCGACAGAATCAGAGATGGTTTTCCATTGTTGGTTGAACACTATGTGATTAGGGACGCACTCGTTTGCGCACCCCAGGAATTAACCAAGGTCATGCATGTTTGGTGTTTCCGTTTGCTTTTCCAGCCTCCTGCTAAAGCGTCTCATGTAAAGAAAAACCTTCGGCTGATGCAGACATGGAAACCAAACACATAGCAACCAGGTTCAGGGTAATTGAAATGACAGTTCTGCTTCATATTCATAAACCTCCGCGACAGAATCAGAGACGGTTTTCCATTGTTGGTTGAACACTATGTGATTAGGGACTTAGGGACGCACTCGTTTGCGCACCCCAGGCATTAACCAAGGTCATGCATGTTTGTTGTTTCCGTTTGCTTTTCCAGTCTCCTGTTGTTTGCTCCAAGTTTGTGTTAGTCACACAAAAAGATGCCCAAAGTGAGCCAAGCGTCGGGCTCATCCAAAGCGTGGTCACCTTATGACCTTGTTGCCTCCATTGGGCTAGTGATCCTCGACAGTTGGGGCACTTGCCACTGGCTGGTTTCGACTGGCGGGAAGTTGTTTCAGCCCTACAAGGCAGTGCCAATGCTTAGCAACGGGTCTGTCTTTGCGCTTCACGAAGGTGATGGTAGCAAGATATTCAAGCCCCAGTTTCGGGTTTAGCATTGACCAAGTCCATCGCAAACGCCGGGCTTTTTTGCCCATCGACTTCTTTTGACTCCAGTGGGTGGCCTTGCCAGCCCTGAGCTGACTGAGCCCTGTCCGGTGATATCCGGCCTGAGCTCGTTTGGAGCCGGGCATTGCGCCTGTTGCGAGAACGCAAGAATGGGCGCCATAGGAGCTTCAGGTGCTTCCCCGCAAGCCGCTCACATGGATGCTGAATATCCCTCATAGCATTTAAAGGAACGGCTCTTTGGGCACCTGAATCTTTCTCAGGGTGCGATAAGACAATTCCCTCGGATTACCTTGACTCATGCCAATGGCCCTTTCAGCTGCCTGCTCTAACCCCCCTATCCGTGTAATCCTCTTGAAGGTCCTTGTTACAGGTCGCATTCTGCAAAAGCGAGAAGGTCAGGATGGCAACCAGACCGTTCCAGAAACCTTGGGAGTAAGGTTTGCGATTTTTTGTCGTGCAACGTTTCTGCGCAGCTATCCCTGTTGCTTCCGCACCTTCCCCCTGCAGGATTGCAAGAGGATTGCGATGCCCCCTTTCAAGTCGGGAAACGTGCTTTAGTAACTTTAGTAGCAAGAGGGGGCCATTTCAATCGCAGGCGCTTGAGTGGGTGAATTGTGACAAGTGCCCATTATGCAAAGCTCCGTAGCCATGTTGGAAAGCATTCGGATCGCCGTATTCGAAGCATCCCCTGACACAACCCGTGGAGAGAAGATGGTAATTAATCCAAAACCGTCCCGTCCGCTTCCATTGGGAAGAAGGTGATTCTTCGCCAAATGGCTGTGGGTCAAAACCAACGGCACCATTTTGGGGTAGGTGCACCACCCATTTTAGTCTATTTTAGTGAGGATTGGGATGTTCACTGGGGGTACGGTTTGGGTTTTGACCCATGGCCAAGTTTCGCCTAGAGGCCTCCAACTCGCGGCCAGGCCTTGTTGGAGAGCCTGTGCGTGGAGCAGCGGGACGCCCTGTAGCCTCTCGCCCGGCATCCAGCGCACAAGCGCTGGAACGCGCGGGCCAGTCGGGTGGAGGGGGTGGGCATTTGTTGGTGAAACGGGAGCCGAAAAGCCTGCACATGGTTGGGTTCGCTTTAGGAGCCAGCCAAAAGGAAGAGTATTCCTGGGACTTGGGACATTGTGAAGCCCAAAGTGGCAATTGGAGGTGGTGCGGGGTGTCGCGGTGGCGGCAGAAAATTTGTGAAGGGATCGTATGTTGGCGGGCTTCAGGAAGGCTCCGCAGTGAATTGGTCGCAGGGGGTCTGAGTCAAGTCTAGTCCCAGAGGAGTCTCAGGCTGCTTGAGCTGATGGCTTTCAGCGTGCTGACAGCTGCTGCCCACTTGGGCAGGCCCTAGCATGTGTGCGGAAGCTGGTCGGAATTCGGAATGCTGCAACATCCGGCCAGTCGCTTAGTTATTGTGTTGCTCATTCAGCCTGACATGCTGAGACTTTGAGAGCGGCAACGTTATTTGGGGAGTTTGCGGATGTTTGCGGTGCCCTCCTCACGTCGGGGGAGCATTGTCTCATCCATGATCAAGGTTGCTTCCCGGATCCCATGTGTCACAAGGGAAAATATGAACATTCGGGAGGTGCCAGAATCCTGGAGTAGCTTGATTACAGATTTCCACCCCAGACCTACCCAAATCAGCCTACGTGGCTTTCGCGCTGGCTTCGAGTGCCTTGCCGCTTCCCATGGCCCGTCTACGAGAAGCGGAGGCATTGAGGCGGGCGGGAAACAGGTGAAACGCCGTGGGCAAAATCCACGCCAGGATCGGTTTGGTAGCTGCTTTCTCACCCATTTTTTTGGGGGGAGACGGTGCGAAGGGGATTTTGTCCATCCACAGGTAGCTCCGTTGATGCGTTTTGGCTGGACCTTCAACCTTGACCCTTTGGTGCCAAGAGGAATGTATTCTTCCAAGAGGCCGGGAGTGCACCAAGCCAAATTATTTGCCTGTGGGAGAGAAATTGTTTCTCTCTCTAAAAATGATCTTTTCATATCGATTTTGAGTTTTGTTTTAATGATGTATGTTCAATTCGAGCTCTGACTGAGCCTGAGATACTTCTCAACCAGTTCCATTTCTGCTTCAATAGTTCTATTGGGGTGAAGACTCGAGTCATTGAACTGCAGGACCCACCACTTCCCCTCCCACGTAAAGAGGATTCTGCACAATCTAGCCCTGCTTGGCTCAGGTTTCATCAGGCGTGGGTCCATTACCAATCCAGGCTTGGGCATGCGAATTTCGCCTACCAAAGCTGTCAACAGCACGCATGCCGCAGTCATTGCCCGAAGATAGATCGCAACTGCCGAAGGTTTGTTGGTAATTTTACTCCTAAAGATGAATGCTTAGCTTCAAGAAAGTGAAGAGGTGCCTTTCGACTTCCGATAGTTCGGGGATGGCGGCTGCTCCCAGCTTGGGTCCATTGGCTGCTTCAGCACTTTCTCCCAAATCTTTGGGCCGTGTTTTGCCATTTGGCAGGCAGTTCCTCCTCAGCAAAGGAGCCTTCCTGGATCCGGCCCCCTGGTGGAAAGCGCGGGAAGGGCGGCTTTGACGGATCGCGCCCATGGAAGGGAAGGTGCGAGATGTCGCGATGTGCGACACCCTGTGAATGTTGCAGCATGAGACAACAAGATCATGTTAGCCAAGGGTGAAGAAGCGAGTTTGGCTGATCCGCACATTTGTTCTCTGAAGTGCTGCGCAAGAAGGTACCTAAACTCATGTTAACGAACATCCCACCCCTCAAACAGACTTAGCAATGCCAAGCATTTTCTGACACATGCCCAACACCCATGCACTGCCACCGTTATCCGTCACTGTACAAAAAGTTAAAGATATATATATATATACAATACACTTGCCCAGTTTGTCAACAGCAAAAGCCCATAACAAAATTGCGGGTCAGAGTTGGGCCTACTCAAGGAGTCTCTCACCAAGTACTGCTTAGCATGGTTTAGTTGTTTTTTTTAGAATACATTGCTTTAGTATGGCTGTAGTATTGGTTCAGGATGAGTTTAATACTGCGCCTTAGTATTGCGATGTGCTCGCCCAGACCGTGCAGCATTGTGTAGTACCATGTGGTGCCAAACGTTTCTGTATTTCCTCTCCCTGTTTTTTCAGGGTGGAACTGTTCTTGGGTTAATTTGTCTGAATCGCCTCCCTATTTGCTCATCGCCGCCCGACACAATTGCCTTCAAGGTTTTTGCTTCACTAGTTAGAAACCGGTCGACGTGTTGCAGGCGGTGGCAGTGTCCCCAGGGAGTTGGACCGTGACACAGCAGTCCCGTTTGAATTGAAACCAGCATGACACGTTCACCATTCAGAAGGTTCGTTGTGCGAGGGGCAGGATCCAACTGCGAATCCTAGAACAACATAGGTTGGCCAAATTGTGGTGGGCTCTCCACAGAACAGAGACACTGCCGTTGGTTTCTTGGAACAGGTTTCCTTTCCAACCAACCTTATTTTTTTGGGCTTCCCTCTCACAAAGCTCAAATCCCTCAAACTCGGAACGATTGGTTCCCCTTGCTAGTGACACAATTGGTTTTCCGTTGGAGTCCCTTGTCTTTTGATTCCCCCCTGGAAAGGGTCCGTTTAGGTTTTCCTCTAAACCAACCCACCGAAAAACTTGACCACCCCAAACAGAGCCTGAACAAACCATGCGAAGGGCATCGGTTTCCCTTGGCTTCAAGCGCACGCGCTTAGAGACGCGCCGAGGCCCTCCGCCTGTCGCTGAGCGTCGGCTCGGGCCTGGAGGTGCGCGCAGGCCGGCGCTTCGCCAAGGGCGAGGTGGTGGCCGAGGCGAGAGGCCATGGGAGTGCCGGTCTCCGTGTTTGGTTTGTGGATCTCCGGTTTGAGTGATGCGATGCTATTGGTCTTTGTGTTTATGTTGTATGTTTGGTGTTGTATATTTGGTGTTGTTTGTTTGTTGTTTGTTGGTTGGTTGGTTGGTTGGTTGGTTGGTTGGTTGGTTGGTTGGTTGGTTGGTTGGTTTGTCTGTTTGTCTGTCTGTTTGTTTTTGAGTGTTTGTGTCTTTGTTTCTGTGTTTGCTTGCTTGCTTGTTTGTTTGTTTGTTCGGTCGGTTTGTTTGTTTGGTTGTTTGTTTGTTTGTTTGTTGGTGTGTTTGTTTGTTTGTTTGCTTGCTTGCCTACCTCCTGCCTGCTTGCCTGCTTGCCTGCTTGCCTGCTTGCCTGCTTGCCTTGCTTGCTGGCTTGGCTTTGCTTTGCTTTGCCTTGCTTTGCTTTGCTTTGCTTTGCTTTGCTTTGCGCTGCTTGCCTGCTTGCCTGCTTGCTACGCAGGTTTTGCTGAAGGGGCACCTCTTTTCTCCATTGTTCTTGGAGGTTGCTTTCCGTCCGGTTGCCGCAGGAATCATTTGTGACGTTGTTTGGGTGTGCGAAAGGTGGCAAAGCAGGCAATGATGTGTATCAAGGAGGGCCGTATGGTCCCACAACTGAGTTTGTGAAGGGTGGAGTCTTGAGTTGCGCAGTGTGCATTTTAAAGCTCATGTTACGTTTGGGTCGGCTCGTTACGTTTGGGTCGGCTCCATGGAGGCATCAAAACACCAGGTGATTTGTTCAAGTGTTTGTTTGCTTAGTTGCTGGAAACCGTACATCGTGTTTTTATAGGCAGCATCCATAGTTGGGTTCCATGACAATGTGGGTGGGAGCCTAGACCATGGCGCCAACGTAAAGTGTTTCAAGGGAGTGCAATGCGAACAGCCTCCTCCCCATCCCCAAAAAAAGAAAGGAAAGAAGAACAATAGGACACCAGGCAAACCATGCCCACAACCCCCTCCACAAACAAACCAACAAATACGTTTTTCACTGAACACCTACACCAAAGAGGCGCAACCGAGGCGGACCGCCAGAAATGGCTCGCCAGGTGCCGCGGCGCCTGGTCCTGGAGGCGCCTCTCGAGGCCGCGCCACACGCGGCGCCGGCGCTGCTGGCGGCAGCGCGCCGGGGCCACGGCCAGTGGTACGACGTGCTGGGCAGCGAGGAGAGGCCCCAAGGCCCCAAGCGTTTCCATAGTTTTGTGTTTCGTTTGAAGCGGTTTCCCTGAATCCACTGCCAAAAAGGGGTTGCCGTTGTCGATAAAAATGTCTAGCTTGTTCGGACCTCTGAAAAAGTGCTGTTTCAACAACCAGGAAGGACAACTCTGGTCAAATGGTAGCAAGCAAGCGTTTCCGTTTGCAATCTCACTCATCATGAAGGTCGGTGAAGCTTAGCCAAATGTTTGAATGTCATGGCGTTCTTCTGTGTCCCTTGTGGGCTGCTCAGATCATCGCCAACTTTAAGTCCTTGTGTTTGAGTTGTCTTTAGGTGGCATTATGTCAAAAACATGTATATTTACAATATGTACGTATGAATAGGGAATCCCCTCATTGCTTGTATGCGTCAACCTCGCATTATTTGACTTCGGGTTGAACATGTTGGTATCATAGTGATTTCTGGGTGTGTTGATTTCACTCAAGTGGAGAAGCCCCTTCTTGTCCAAAAAGTGCTTTAACACCTTGGTCTAAAGCGGTTGTTTGGCTTGCCCGTATTCTGCCTAGGCTTGAGTGTGCTCCTTGGGTGATTAAATAGGCGCTTTTTCAAGTTGTTTGTGTCTTTAGTCTTTAGTGTTTCACTTGGTAATTTGTGTCCATAAAAACATGGCTTAAGCATTTGTATGGTTTACTTGTACTCAGTGCTCCCAGCCCAGCTCACCCTCCTCAGAGTTTCGCCAGGAGGGCCGGTGGGCGGTCGCCAACTTGGCGCTGTCACTACTCCGGGCACGCGCAGAAGGCGGGCAGCGGCGTAGCGAGCGCAATTGTCCATGGGTCAAAGGGACCCAAGTTTGCAATTTCAGCTTAACCTCGATGGTTTCCTTGCTACTCTACCAAACAGGTGGTTAATGTTCAGAAACAGGCTATGCCCTGGCAGGTGTAGGCCAGATTCGGAGCACATTTCAGGCAGAATGGGGGGACTCCCCATATGGCTACATAATGGCAGTGAGTGGGGCTGGTGAAGATGGGTTTTAGCGTGATTTGTTTTGCCATGGGTCCGATTTTTCCGGTGAGGAGGGCCATCTTGCACCAAGGGAAGGTGAGCGGGACGGACCTCGCCTGATTTGATAACCTTGTCAAGAAATCTCAGGCAGAACAGCGTGTTGCGGGAGTTCAGGCAGTTCAGTCCGTGGTTCACAGGCTTAACTGCTGTTCCGCTATTTGTGCTTTCTTTGTTTCAGGACCTGTTCGGCCTTATTTTACTGAGAGTGGTTTGCTTGCATTATAAGCAGGCAACACCTCACCCTTCGGCGCTTACATCGCGGCGCTGCCGCATTGGCCGGATTTGCCTACGCTGCACCCTCTGAGGCGATGTACGGTCGATGGTCGACGCGGGTGGGTTCCAGCCTTTTGGCTTCCTTTAAGGGCATGCAAACCTTGAGAGCAAACCAGCATTGTCCCTCTTGTCCCTCACGCATCTGATGCTCCTCAGAAAAACGAAGGTTACAGGAGGGTAGCTAAGCGGTTACTATACGGGCATCTCTTCAAGGATTCATTTCAGGCTACAGGGTGAGAAGACTTGACTGGAATTTATCCTTGGTGTTTCGGTCACTTTGCTTGGGCCGGTTTGTGAGGCGGGTTTGGCCCCAGCGGTTGCTGGAGGCCTCGCCCATGCTGGCGCGGCTGTATGAGGACGGATCGACCACCTGGCC